CGAAGCCCCCTTTGGGCCCGGAAAGGGGGGGGAGGCCGGGGGGGCCCAGCTTACCCAGCGGCGTGGCGTTCGCTCCGGTCGCCATGGCGCCCCCGGGGACCGGCACCGGCGGCTCCTTTTAGGCGGCGGTGGCGGCTTCTTCTTCGCGAATCTTCCGGGGGGAGGGGACCCGACTGCGCTGCCCCGGAGCGCGTCCTCTCACGCGGCGGGCGGCGGCGGCGCGAGACGCACAAAGAGGGAGGAGAGAGGGCGCCGCGGGGGCGGGCCGGGGGCGACGGGTCCGAGGCCTGGATTGGGCCGAGCCGAGGCAAGGGGGTTGGAATCGGCGGCCTCCAATTGGTGGAGCCTTAGCCCTCCTCGATGCACGCTGGGATTGGCCGGACCGTTAGGCCAGGCGAAGAAATGGCGGCCGAGCCTAGCGAGCTGGGAGGTGTCGCAGCGCGCACTTCATTTGTTACTGCGCGAACTGAGCTCGGAGTCCAGAAAGGAGGGGATAGGGTGGGGCAAACTCTGTGACGTAGGGGCAAAGGGCTTTCTCATTGGTTGAAGTTGGTTGAGTCAATCATTCTCTGTTGCGTCGTAGTGTCATGGGATTGGCTGTCGCTTGTTCGATTCTTTTTTCTACTCCCCTCCCACGGGGAGAAGTTTCGCTGGGATTAAGCGAGAGGTCGCGGCTGTACCCCGGTTGAACGAGATTTACCGCCGGGGGAGGAGTGGAGCAGGAGCGCGCATGCGTAGACGAGGCAAAGCTACCTCGACCCCGGGGTCCGTCGCGGAAGCCCTAAGTGACGTAAATTCTCGATTCCCATGGTAACCCGGCACCGAGGGACGAGGGAGGGGCCGGCGCGCGCCCGTAAGCCGGATCCGTTGACTCGCCGCAGGTAAAAAGGGACTTCCTGTTTTTCTTAAAAAAAAAAAAGTTATAAAATAGTCTTTTTGAAGGATCAAAGCAATATTTGGGCCTATGGAAGAACACCTAATTTTAGGCGGAAAACAATATAAAGTCAATTCCAAAATTAATTTACAAGTACATTGCATTTCCATTGGAATTTCAACTGGGTTGGGGGTTGATTACATCATCTTAAAATATAATTTTGAAAATAGTGGGGAAACTTGTAAACGAGGTTGAAGAGGAACTTGCTTTTCAGACAATAGGAACAGCACACAAGACAGGATAATGAAAGTGATTTTGTTGTAGGAAAGACAGATTAGTGCTACAGAATGGAGACTGGAAATAGATTCCCCATAAGTAAGTAGATTCAGTAAAGAAAAAATTTAGCTAACAGATGGTGTAGGGTCCTAAATTAAACAATAAAACAGACCTAGAATACAATATAGGCGAGTGTCACGGTCATCTAAAGGTAGAGACTTTTAGGGAAACGAAAACTCAGACCAATGAAAGATATACTTGATCACCAAAGAAATTAAAACTGATGAAAGTTAACAGACAGTAACACATTAGGAAGATATACTTGCCATACATGATAGCTAATATGCAAAGAAGTCTTAAAAAATAATTATAGGGGCGCCTGGGTGGCTCAGTCGTTAAGCGACTGCCTTCGGCTCGGGTCATGGTCCCAGGGTCCTGGGGTCGAGCCCCGCATCGGGCTCCCTGCTCGGCGGGAAGCCTGCTTCTCCCTCTCCCGCTCCCCCTGCTTGTGTTCCTGCTCTCGCTGTCTCTCTCTCTGTCAAATAAATAAATAAATAAAACCTAATTATAAAATAAGACAAAAACAATAGAAAATGAGCAAAGATTGTAATAGGCAAGTCTCAGAAGAGCAAATCCAAATAGCAAAAAAACATGAAAAGACAGCAGTACCCACCCTCCGCAGGAAAATGCAAATTAAGATGATAAGGAGGAATCTCTTTATATAACCATCAAAATAGCAAACAACCAATGTGCTAACACTACTGAGAATTTCTTTTTTGGAAAGCATTTTATTATCTATTAAAATTGTACCCCTTTCAAGAAAAATTAAAAATAAGCCCTTTCAATGTATCAGTCCCACTCCTGGGAATCTGCCCCAAAGCAAGGCGTGTGATTATATAATGTAATGTGTTCATGGTTTTCTACTGCATTTACTGCAGCACTGTCTGTAATAGTGAAAATCTGGAAACAAAGTGAGTTTCCTTTAATAAGTGAAGGGTTCAATAAACTGGAATCCCTAACCTATTTTAATAGGCAGACTTGAAAATCAGTTAATCCATACCAACTAATTTAGAGGGACGTCTGTGCTGTTACTAAATAAAAAAAACAGAGATATATTACATTATCTTGTTTTTGTAAAACCCTATATATGTGTGCACGTGCCTGTCTGCATTTGATTACGCGAGGATAGAGAAAGCTATAGAAGGGTATACGCAGCATGTTATTAGTGAAGACATTGGAGAAGAAAACAGGTTACCTGGAAATTGTTCCATACATTTCAAGAACTCAACGTATTTTTAAAATATGCTTCATGTGACACCTGGGTGGCTCAGTCGTTAAGCGTCTGCCTTCGGCTCAGGTCATGGTCCCAGGGTCCTGGGATGGAGTCCCACATCAGGCTCCCTGCTCAGCGGGAAGCCTGCTTCTCCCTCTCCTACTCCCCCTGCTTGTGTTCCCTCTCTCGCTGTCAAATAAATAAAATCTTTAAAAAAAAAAGACTTACTTTTAAAAAAAAGTTTACAAAATCTTGGTGCACCTGTGTGGCTCAGTGGGTTAAGTGTCCAATTCTTGATTTCAGCTCAGGTCATGATCTCAGGATCATGCGATCACACCTCCCCCCCTCCCCCCACTGGGCTCTGCTCTCAGCAGGGAGTCTGCTTGAGGATCCTCTCTCCCTCTGCTCCTCCCCCTGCTTTACAAGTTTTTCATTCTCAATAAACAAATAAATAAATAAAAATCTAACTAATACAGTATATGTTAACTAACTAGAATTTAAATTAAAAATTGGAAAAAACATTTCAAAAAAATAAAATGTGCTTCATTCTTTTTAAACATTTATGACAATCCGGGGCGCCTGGGTGGCTCAGTTGTTGGGCGTCTGCCTTCGGCTCAGGTCATGATCCCAGGGTCC